TACACAAAGTGTGAAATGTTTCATATAAAGTAGGTGTTTTATATAGAAATGTTTCACATTTTAAAAATCTGGCATGTGTGTGCATGTGTATATGCACACACTATACAAGAATGTTTAATTTTATCTGATTTTAAATAATAATAATACCTGTATAAAAATGTATAAACTGGATCTGCACATTCTGCTTGGTTGTTTAGAGAACTGTATTTGTTTTTGTTGTTAGTCCCAAAGTCGTGCCCGACCCATCATGGCCCCATTGACAATTCCGTCCCTCGGAGTCCACCCAACCTCATACCCACTGCCCCAGTGACTCTGTGTTAGGCATGCATATACATTGATTCAGAGTTTCATAAGAGTGGTTTTCAAACACTTTCCATGCTTCCTTGCCTTCCAAAGAGACTGGCCCATTACAAAAGGTTATGGAACACATTATAGGATATATTCTGAGTTTGCTTTGGGCTCTGGATAAACCCTTGTGCCAACAGAATGTTCCCCTAGAATTGGCCCAACATTGTTCTGCAGGTGGCCTATGGGAGGCTAATCCCAGCGTATGAAGCTTTCTTCCATTTCCCAAAGATGTCCTTGATCAGCTTAAGAACATACGAACATCAGAAAAGCCTTGCTGGATCAGACCAGAGGTCCATCTGGCCTGGCACTCCATTCATATGGTGGCAAAACAGCTGCCCACAGGATCCCTCTAGCAGGATGGGTGCAAGACCTTCCATTCAGTGTTGTGTATGTTGTCATGTTTCATTTTTTGAACTGTTTATAGTGTTACGGTCCTTCTAAGAACAATTGGATAGATAGACGCTCCCACAGTATCAATGGGTGTTGCTTTCTCATTTGTCTGGATGAGAAACATAAAGTGTAAACCAGCAGGAATAAAAAGGAACGTGTCTTCTATTATGTTCTTGTCATCCTTATTTCTTGAAAACTGTTGCTGTCTCTAATAGCATAGGAAAAGCAAACATAGCATAATAGCAACATATGTTGTGATGGTGCCTATAAAAGGTAGAGCAACGAGCATAGGAAACAAAGACTTAAAAATGAGAAATACATGCTGGTTGATGTATATAAAATTAGAATAGAGATTGCTCCAAAACATGACAGACAATTCAAATTTTGATTTGTTTATTTACCCTCTCTGCTGATCTGACAGATTTCCCCATGGAAAATTACCAGTACAAATACAATACGTATATTTTCTTAATATTGCTTTGTGCTGCAGACAATAAGATGCAAAAAGTCTGTTCAAGAATTCAGACTTCATTTTATACAAACTCAGTACAAGCCATCACTAAATTATTCTTTCTCTTGGAATGCTTATATTTTACTGGTTGTGTAGATAAGATATTGCAGTCATCATAGGCTTTGTATGTATAGGTATTGTATAGGTATTGTATAGATATTAAGATAGCTGGGTGTTTGCATTTGAGTCAGTGGTGCTTATAAGCCATTTATAATGGCCAAGTATGTCATGAGGATGGCCAAAACCAAGCCTACACCTCGGTTATATTATTTATTGTCCCCAAACTTATCTTGGACTGGAAACCTGTCTGATAGCCCTGGCATGCCTTGCTCTCAAGGAGAAGACCCCACAGTAAACAACCTATGTATGAAAGGATGCTTCCATCCGATACGAAGGTCCCAAGTCATACAGAGGTTCATAGGTCAAAACCCACAGTATGAACTTGATGTGGAAACAAACTGGAAGGTAATGCAAGTGAGACAGAGCTAGTATAATATGTTCCAACTACCTAGTCCTAGTTAAAGCATTCCTTTGTTACAATTTACATCAGATGGATTGTGTTCAAGACAGCCCCATATACCACACTTTTCAGGAATGTGGATCACGGCTGCCACGTTAACCCTCTTGAGATGAGGTTTTCGTTCCAATAATGGCTTAAGATGACGAAAGGCATCTCACACCACAGTAGTCATCTGAGCATCTAACGAACCACTTGCCAGCCATGCATCTTCCTTGCCTGGATTGAACCTCACCTTGGATCCATTCATTGATTTTCTCCACTAGTACTGAAATTTTAGTATAAACTGTGGAACAATGTCTATTATAGGATTACATCCCCAGTTATTCTTCCCATTGGTTTAGAAATCAATTGCTTGAAATTATCCATATTTATTTTATTTGTTTGTTTATTAGATTTATATCCCACCTTTTATTTCTTGCAAAAAACTCAAGATGGCTCACATCATTCTTCTCCTGCTTCTTTCCATCTTATCCCCACAACAACAACCCTGTGAGTTAGGTTGGGCTGAGAGTCTGTGACTGGTCACAGTCACTCCATGGCTCAGTGGGGACTAGAACCCTTATCACTTGAGTCCCAGGCCTGTGTCCTTAACGCTACACCACACTGGGTCTCCAGTAATATGTTCAGTTATATAATATATAGGCTGTGACTTCTTTCTTATGTCCATTAACAAGGACTCATTCATATACATGGTTTCAAAAGATGTTTGTTTATTTGTTTGCAATCTGTAGATACTCATGAGGGACTTATCTCCCACCCTAGATCCTTGCTCTGTTCTGCTCATACAGGACTTTCTGCTATTATATCTTTGCAGCTCTCTCAATCAGTCTTGGCTTACACAGGGGAATTACAACTCCCACACATCTGGAACAATCCAGGTTGACGAAAGCTGCACTCAGTCATAATATATCTAAGTTTCCAAATAACTAACGGCTTTAAATTTTTAATTAAAGATACCATTACTAAAAGCTATACCATATTTCTGATAAGCCCACAGTATCTGATCGCTGTTGTTGCCCTTGTTTTAGAATTACAACATGTAATTCCCCTGTGTAAGCCAAATCCCTGTAGGGTGTCTGTTCACTCTGGTCAATGCTGCAGAGCTATCATACCATTTAAGTATTATTTCCACATGTACCGTATTCCATTAGGAAGTTCCATTAGGAATTAGTGGGAAAGTGAAAAAGGATGTAATTTCTTTCAGACCATTCACTAACCTACATAAAGCAGATGTGAAAAAAAAGTTGGTCTTCTCAGATTCAACATATCTTCTCTTCGGCATGATTGGGATTCACTCCATCTTTCTCATCCTTCACCATTTTGAGCAGAGGAATTGTTTTGGAATCATATATGTGTGCATGAACAAACACATAAACTGGATGGTCTGGAAAATAAATGAATGGAAAGCTCCCCGGAAGTGCAAAAGCTGGAGGTATTGACCTGTGGACATGATACTCTTAGGCATTTTCAGTCTCCTCACCCCTCCTCAAAGGATTTGAGCTGTGTGAGAGAAAGGCCTTTGCAGTCCCAAAAAAGGTGGGGGAAATGGTGTGTGTATTCCACTGAAAGCAAGGCAGTGCAGAGAGAGAACTCACATGCCCATTTGATGTTCATCTACCTTACCTCATTAGAAACCAGAAGAGTTTGGGAGGGGGATTGTGTGTGTGTGTGTGTGTGTGTGTGTGTGAGAAAGAGAGAGAGAGAGCGTGTTTTGTAAATCTGCAGTTGTAAGTAATAAATGGCAAGCCATGTAGTGACAAGTTAATTCCATTCATGTTACAAGCTCTAGTGATGGACATAAAAAGCACTGCAGATAGTAACCATGGTCACAAGCATTCATTTATTGTGGAAAGAGTGCTTCACATTACTATGTCCTATTGTAAAATGTAATAGGAGATGAGTCTGATATTAGCTGTGTATCCTTATGGATAATGATCTGTTCTATGTCAGATTTCATCGTTGTTTGCAAAGCAACAATGGAATCTTCTTTAAAGCTTCTTTGCCAACTCGGGTAAATATACTTCTATACTCATATTTCTTCTCTGTTTTAAAATGTGACATTAAAGCCTGCAAAAAGATCTGTTGCACACTGCCATTTTGCGCTTGTCAAAGAATACTTGCTGAGTTACTCAAAATAATGCATATTTCACGTAAATCCCTAATTTCAAAGCTAGCAAGTACATTAGTTCTGCTCAAATGCTTAGTAATGCCCTGTGGAATGTGGGATGTTCCCACCCCTTCGAAAAGCAGAACCTGTAACACAGCCTTCCCCAACCTTGTGCCTTCCAGACAAGTTTGGACTGCAACACCCAGAATTCCCAGTCAGTGGCCCTGCTGGAGAATTCTGGGAGTTCTGGTCCAAATGCCTCTGAAGGCCACCAGGTTAGGAAAGGCTCTTGAAAGTCCTGTGATCCACAGAGGAGTTGCAGTTGGACAAGCACAAACCCACTGTGAACTCGGTCCATCATTCGGTCCACTGGTCCCTGAATGGGAAACCATCAGAAATTCCATACAAACCATCTGGCATTTCTGAAGAAGAGCAAGATATATGTGAAATGCATAGATGCAATTAACGGTGAAATGTAGAAGACAAAAGCACCAGATTTGTCACAGATTTGTTTTCATGATATTCCTGTTAAAGAGATTGTAACATGCAGCTGCAGCTGCTAACACGTGTGCCAGTTTATTTATTTAATTAGATAGATAGTTTGTTAGTTCAAGCTTTTATAGCCAGTCACAATAGCTGGACAGTTTACCATTTTCAGCACTTGGTATTATAAATGTTCTATTAACGCAGAAGCCAGTACACCTCTTCCTAAGCACTGGACTGCCATCATAACAACTTTTGACTTTTCCCATCAACATTTCTGTCTTCTGGGGTAAGATATAGGACTGTTTCATCTGTGGGTTTGCTGATGAATCACGTTCCTATGGAACCTTTACACACTTGATGAACTTTTGTATGAAAAGGTAGCTAACTCATCAAGACAGGAAGCAATCATGGGGAATGTCTGGTCCTTCCATTGTTGTTGGATAGTAGCTCACATCAGCCCAAGTCAGCATAGCCAATGTGTGAGGGATGATGGGATTTGCTGTATAACATCTGGAGTGCCACATGCTCTCCATCCCCAAAGCTGATTAGAATGGGGACTGACTTCATAGTCTAATATGTTTGACATAGACATTTGTTTATTTTTTGTTTTCCTTCCCCTCTCCTTCTTCTTCGAATAGAAGTGACCGGAATGCAGTGCTTTAGAAATTCAGGTTCAGTGATTGTAAGTAATTAGTTCTCTTGTTCTTTATTTTCTTGCAAGTTTTTCATATGGTTGATACAAGTGAAAAAAAAAGTAACCAAGTTCACCAGGAGATGAAAAAAAATCTGTTTTGTTTTGTTTTGTTTGCTTTGCTTTTTTAATCACCGCATTTACATTTTCAAAAATCAGCAGTCCCAGTCTAGGAATACACTGGGGAAAGGAAGTGCCCAAAGAATATGCCTTAAATTCCACTGGAGAAATGCAGACGCCTGGGTCGTGGCTAATGAATTGTAAACCTGACATAACAAGGTGTGTCTTAACTCCATGAGTATCAGGTAAAGGACAATCCACTAAAATCACAGAGATTTTAATAGGTCTCCTCTAAATAAGGCTTAATCTGGATGTATTTATTTATTTATTTATTTATTTATTTATTGACATCTATTTATAGGCTGCCTATAATTGCCTATAATTTCCACTGGAGAAAGAAATAGCAACCCACTCCAGTATCTTTGCCATGAAAGACCCAAGTACAGTACCAAAGGGCAAAAAGATATGACGCCAGAAGATGAGTCCCTCAGGTTGGAAAGTGTCCAATATGCTACTGGGGAAGAGCAGAGGGCTAGTATTAGTATCACCAGAAAGAATGAAGCGACTGGGTCAGAGCCAAAAGGACACTCAGTTGCTGATGTATCTGGTGGTGAAAGGAGAGTCCGATGCTGCAAAGATCTATACTCCATAGGAACCTGGAATGTAAGATCCATGAATCAAGGCAAGCTGGATGTGGTCAAACAAGAGATGACAAGACTGAACATCGACATCTTAGGAATCAGTGAACTAAAATGGACAGGAATGGATGAATTTAATTCAGATGACCATCAGGTATACTACTGCGGGCAAGAATCCCTCAGAAGAAATGAAGTAGCCTTCATAGTCAATAAAAGAGTAGGAAAAGCAGTACTGGGATACAATCTCCAAAATGACAGAATGATCTCAGTTCGAATCCAAGGGAAACCATCGAACATCACAATTGTCCAATTCTATGCCCCAACCACTGGTGCTGAACAGGCTGAAGTTGACCAGTTCTATGAAGTCCTACAACACCTTCTTGAATTAACACCAAAAAATGATGTCCTTATCATCATGGGGGATTGGAATGCTAAAGTAGGAAGCCAAAAGACAACTGGAATAACAGGCAAGTTTGGCCTTGAAGTACAAAATGAAGCAGGGCACAGGCTGGTAGAATGTTGTCAAGAGAATACGATGGTCATAGCAAACAATTTTCCAACAACCCAAATGACGGCTTTACACATGGACATCACCAGATGGTCAAGAAAGAAATCAGATTGACTACGTGCTCTGCAGCCAAAGATGAAGAAGCTCTATACAGTCAGTAAAAACTAGACTAGGAGCTGACTGTGGCTCAGATCATGAGCTTCTTGTTACAAAATTTAGGCTTAAATTGAAGAAAGTAGGGAAAAACACTAGGCCATTCAGGTATGACCTAAATCATATTCCTGATGAATATACAGTAGAGCTGACAAATAAATTTAAGGAATTAGATCTGATAGACAGAGTGCCTGAAGAACTATGGACAGAAGCTTGCAACATTGTACAAGAGGTAGGAACTAAAATCATCCCATAGAAAAAAGAAATGCAAGAAAGCAAAATGGCTGTCTGAGGAAGCTTTACAAATAGCTGATGAAAGAAGGGAAGTGAAAGGCTAGAAGAATGCCTTCTTAAATGAACAGTGCAAAGAAATAGAAGAAAACAATAGAATAGGGAGGACCAGAGATCTCTTTGAGAAAATTGGCGATAATGAAGAGAACGTTTCATGCAAAGGTGGGCTTGATAAAGGACCAAAATGGCAGGGACCTAACAGAGGCAGAAGAGATTAAGAAGAGGTGGCAAGATTACACAGAAGAACTATACAAGAAAGAGCTTAATGTCCCTGATAACCACGATGGGGTGGTCACTGACCTCGAGCCAGACATCCTGGAATGTGAAGTCAAATGGGCCTTAGGAAGTCTGAGCAACAACAAAGCTAGTGGAGGTGACAGTATTCCAGCTGAGCTATTCAAAATCCTAAAAGACAATGCAGTAAAAGTGCTACACTCAATATGCCAGCAAATTTGGAAAACTCAACAGTGGCTACAGAATTGGAAAAGGTCAGTATACATTCCGATCCCAAAGAAGGGCAATGCCAAAGAATGTTCAAACTACGGCACCATTGCACTCATTTCACATGCTAGCGAAGTGATGCTCAAAATCCTACAAGCCAGTCTCCAGCAGTATGTGGACCGAGAACTACCAGAAATACAGGCAGGATTTCGAAGAGGCAGAGGAACTAGAGATCAAATTGCCAACATACACTGGATCATGGAGAAAGCTAGGGAGTTCCAGAAAAACATCTACTTCTGCTTCATTGACTATGCTAAAGCCTTTGAATGTGTGGATCACAACAAATTGTGGCAAGTTCTTAAAGAGATGGGAGTACCTGACCATCTTATCTGTCTCTTGAGAAACCTTTATGAAGGTCAAGAAGCAACAATGAGAACTGGACATGGAACCGCTGATTGGTTCAAAATTGAGAAAGGAGTTGGGCAAGGCCGTATACTGTTGCCCTGCCTATTTAGTTTATATGCAGAGCACATCATGAGAAAGGCGGGCCTAGATGAATCATAAGTCGGAATTAAGATTGCCGGGAGAAATAACAACTTCAGATATGCAGATGATAGCACTCTAATGGCAGAAAGTGAGGAGGAACTAAAGAGCCTCCTGATGCGGGTGAAGGAGGAAAACACAAAAGTTCTCTTGAAACTCAACATTAAGGAAACAAAGATCATGGCATCCGGTCCTCTCACTTCCTGGCAAATAGATGGGGAAGAAATGGAGGTAGTGACAGAATTTTATTTTCCTGGGCTCCAAGATCACCGCAGACGGGGACTGCAGCCAATAAATTAAAAGACACTTGCTCCTGGGGAGGAAAGCTATGGCCAATCTAGACAGCATACTAAAAAGCAGAGACATCACCCTGCCAACAAAAGTGCATATAGTCAAGGCTATGGTTTTCCCAGTTGCAATATATGGCTGTGAAAGCTGGACCAAAAAGAAGGCTGAGCACTGAAGACTGAGGCCTTTGAATTGTGGTGCTGGAGGAGACTCCTGCAAGTCCCTTGGACAGCAAGGCGATCAAACCAGTCAGTCCTAGTGGAGATCAACCCTGATTGCTCTTTAGAAGGCCAGATCCTGAAGATGAAACTCAAATACTTCAGCCACCTAACGAGAAGGAAGGACTCCCTGGAGAAGAGTCTAATGCTGGGAACAATTGACAGCAAAAGAAGAAGGGGACAGCAGAGGATGAGGTGGCTAGATGGAGTCACTGAAGCAGTCTTAAGTGGACTCCGGAGGATGGTGGAGGACAGGAATGCCTGGAGGAATGTTGTCCATGGGGTTGCGCTGGGTCGGCCGTGACTTCGCAACTAGCAACAACGTAATTGCTGAGGCTTTCCTAGGTGGCTTGCAGTGCGTAAAACGTACTAACAGAGTAAAAACACATTAGAAACCTATTAAAACACAACAAATTAAAACATCTATGAAAGCAATATAAAAAGGGCCACAGCATTCAGGCTAAGTGTTAAAAAATTCCCTAAAAAGGTTTGACTTTGCTGGTGCTGAAAGGAAAATAGGGATGGCGCCAGGAGAATTTCCCTAGGGAGGGAGTTCCAGAGATGGGGAGCAGCAGCAGAAAAGGCCCTTCGCCTGGTTGCCACCCCTCTCATCTCCCTGAGGGGTGGTTCTCATAGAAGGGCCTCCTCAGCTGATCTAAGGGAGCGGGTAGGTATATATGGGTCCAGATAGCCTGGCCCCGATGCAGTATCTTTGGCAAGGTCTCAGCATGCTCTCTTTCACACAACATGAAGCTCACTGGATCCATTTACAGCTTGCTTCTCCGGCTGGTCTCCGGCTTGCCTAGTCTTGCATTTCTAGGCAACGGAGGTGTGTTATGACAGATGCCTTGCATGTAGAACATGCTAAGATCTGGAAAAGAAGTCTTCCGCTCCTAGTCCCGGGATAGTTGCCCCGACCTGGAAGGGACAGCACTTGATAGCATCATGATCTGACTTGGCATACAGCGTCCTTATATTTACCAGCTAAGATTTAGAGCTTTGATATAAGCCTTGATTATACAGGATTGCTATGTAAAATGACTGGGAAAAATTCTGAACATGCATCAGATTTATCTTAAAAACTTTCCCCTGAGTATGAATTCGGATTCTCAGTGCATCAGTATTGTATTGGTTACATGGCAAATAAGATCTGCTTTGCTTGCATATTAAATGAGGTATATGAAAGCAAGGCAAAAAAATTGATTTGATCTGTAATTAGCTGCTTCCTAGTAAGTGTTTTGGAAAAGGGTTACAGTTTGTCTAATATCCCTTCCATCTGTTGCAAGATGCTTGCTTTTATTTGGATTTCCTGATGCTGTTTTATCAAACATTGCATGAATCATCTCCCATTTGTTTGCCTTTGTCTCCTTTTTATTGTTCTTGTTCCTTTTCCTTCAATTATTAAAACACCGCATTGAATGGAAGGTTAGGATTACACTGCAATTCACATTTGCCCTAGCTTATTAAAACAAATAAACACGGCAGTTATGTAATTTAAATGCGCTTGAGCTGTGGATCAGAGATGCTTTTATCAACACTGGGATGAAGAGGTTGTGTGCATTCGGGCATGCAGGTACAGCTGTTCTTCGGAAAATGGCAAATCTCATTAGGTTACAGGTGCCTACAAATAACTTCTGAAGGAACAAAATGCAAGCCATTTTCTATAAAGTTTCTTCCAAACAGGAAATGCAGTTGATCACACCCTTCAACTTGTGTTAGCAGGTTTGTTTCCTGATTCAGATAAAGAAATGTTCCATTTATTTTACCTATTTGGCCAGTGAAGCATTTGGTTCCCATCAGCTCTCCTTCCCACACCAAGCTCCTGACTGAGGGCTTCATTTTAATACATTGTGTGAAATGAATGAAATGCTGAGCAGGGAGCAGAAAGGCATAAGCCAGAAGCCATATTTTCAAGGCATTTGTGTGAGATTTAATATTCCTGGGCCTTACTCGGTTCAAATGTCCTGAATCAACTTCCTGTAAACTTCATGTATAGTCACTTTTGGAGACCAGGTGAATGTAATCAGATGCACATAATGTGTTCTGATTACACTGTTTGTGCAAATCGCTCCCTTGGGTGCTAGGGATTTCAGTAGCACAAAACGTTTGCACACAGAAGTATAAACACAGACATTACAGAATGAATAATAATTTCCAGTGAGAGAAAACATGCAGTGTTACAAAATCAACAGGCTCTACTTGTCTTTTTTTAAAAGAATGCTCTCTTGATAGGAAAGTTTAAATCCTACCTCAACTTTATTTACAGCCAAATCTTACTCAAAGATGTGTTAGCAACCCAAGATGTATTCCTTCTCTGCTACAGTCACTTGAAAGCCAATGATGGACTAGTTCCTGAAGGAACTCTATTGTTCGTTATTAGTTTCTAGGTACAATTTTTATATTTAAAGTCCAGAACAATCTGGAACTAGGAACACTGCGGGATGGTCTTTTTTATCAGTGACCTGAAAGTTAGTTTCAAGATACACCTGGCACAGTGTTTCCCCATCATTGGTGAAATATCACTGAAGGGTTTCACTGTGACACAACAGGACAAACTGTTCCACACAGCAAAGCAAACAGATGAAGTGTCTCCTTGCACTGGTGCTGGAGGCTCTGAGGCTGAAACTTACCCATTCTAGGTAGCTGAAATGCTGTTAAATACTATAGACAATGGGTAGGCTGGTGGAAGTGGACCTCCCTGCCCCTTTCTCCCTGTGCAGCCTCTTCAGCTGACTAAAAATAGTACACAGAGTATCAGCAGGCCCTGCAGAATGGGGAGAGATGTGATTTTTTTTTTGGAAGGGTGGAGAATTCCAATAATTAAGTGGAACTACATTCTGTGCGCAGAGTCCTTCTGTCAATGCATATCTTGGCTCCAACCCAGAATGTCTTCTAGAGTTTTCTGGACAGTTAAAGGGGGAATGTATGTACTTGTCCATTTTTTAATGTTGCCCATCCAGATGATAAGGGTGTGGGTCCCACTCAGATCCCTGTAAACATTTTTTCCTCTTTATTCCTTCACCTTGGAGGAAGAACAGAGTCTTTCTCAAAGTTTTGCAGTTTCTCTTGTGCTCCTTTCTGTGTACAAACTGAAAAAATTGGCAAAAGGAGTTGAAAGAAGAAAAAGTACTGAAGGAAGAGTAGGAGGATGTTCTTCTCTGCTGGAGAGGGTTGGGAGACCCTTTCAGAAGACAAAGAATAGATGGAGAGGGTGCCTTAAAAATGGGGTCTGGAAAGGAAGAAGCATTAGGAACTCTGAAAGTAACTGCGGCATTGTCTGTTGCAGGCATTGCTAAGCAAAATATGCAAGTTCTTCACGGGGAGGAGCTGATTCATCACCATCATTTCCGATGTCTTAGGCGTAGCTAAAGGAAGCAAACCCATTCAGCTGCTGCATAAAGAAGCAAGGGTATCCTAGAGGAAAGAATGTCAATGTTTTCTGTATAAATTATTATCTTCCTGTGTCCTGTTAAGAATGTTTTCATTCTAGTTAACTTAGTTAGCATAAAACTTATCTACTTAAATTGTGCTACTGATCGTAAAGCCATGCATGTAGGTTGCTGCTTTATGCACTGGGCCAGAGACCCTGTCTTTTGAATATATCACTGCAAACACAGGTTCTGAGGCAGCAGTGCCCAAATCTAATCAAACAGCCGAGTGGCTGGAAACTGGGGATGGTGGTCCCACCCAGATGGACTTACACCATCTTTACACACCTTGTCCTCAGCAGCTGATTGGCAGGGTTGCTGCTTTGATTATTGGGAAATCATTTGTGATTAGGATTTCTTCCAAGTACAAACATTGAGCAGGATGGATAAAATGTATGCAATTTTCAAAAAAAGTGCCTTCTTATTTTGTTGCAATTGGGTTTTTATTTCTTTTATATTAGCTTAAAATTCAGTGGAATGCAAGCATTTTAAATCAGGCTTTATACTCTCTTTTTAAAAATGGCATTTGATTAAACAATTTGATTTAAAGGGTGCTTTTCTTTGTAAATTAGAAACCATGAAGGAGTATATATGTATACATAAATGCTTTATTGTAACCCTTTAAATTACAAAAGAGCAGGTAGAAATTGATATAACAGAGTAGTTCTTATGTTTCTGTTACATATTGTGACAATAAAATAACTGCAACAGAACAAATTATGTAAAAAGCAGCCAAACCTGAGAAAATTTGTTTGAGATCAAGCATTGTATGTGGCAGACTAATTTATATACTAAATTTTCCTAATTGTTGTGAAGTTGACACCATGGGCTATGGTGGGTCTGCTTTGCTCTGTCAAGTTCTGTTAAATAGACCCTGTATAACATGTTCTGAATGTGTGTACATGTATAATATATATATACACTTATCCCATTCTAAATTAGGTTAATCCTATATTTAGTGGTAAATCAATATATTGGAGTAGGCATATGGTCCTGGAAATATGTGAGATATTCATAGGGTAATTGATCCATTTTTTAATTTTAAATAGCCTTTTCCCTTGGTGATTTAAGTCAGCAAATCCTTGCATGGAAGGAGCCTGCTTCCATTTTCATTATCCATATAGCAGTGATAACGTGGGTACTCCCTTCAGCGCTAGAGAAACCTTTTCTCCTGACATTTCCTTGGGGAACCTCTGAGTCCTTTTCTTGAGCTTGCAGTCCTTTTCTAGCACTGAGAAGAGAGGGAGGAGAAGGTGCAAAGAAGAAGGCTGGAAGATAGCCAGGGGGACTCTCTCCCTGGAACTTCCCCTTGAGGCCCACCCCATGATGCCACTGGAGTCCCTTCTCCTCTGCAGAGATGACGGCTCTTTACCTGTCCATGCACACTGAATAGGGAGGCCTTTACAGGGATCCAGCATCTCTAGCACTGACATGGGAAGCCCTGCTCAGCACTAAAGAAAGGTTTCTGCATTTGGGTGAGAAGCCCTAAGGGCCAAAGTTGCCCTGTCCCCACCAAAAGCCTATCCACTGAGAAGCTCAACTGAACTGGGAAGAGAAGGATCCTAGTCTGTGAACAATACGGATGCTTTCTCTGCTTTCTGTCTTTATGTGCCATTAGCTCTCAACCTTGTGAATACTTTGTGCTTCTGAGTCAGGGTAAATTTCTGCTGGCAGGAAAAAGTCCTCTGCTACCTTAAAGCTGAATTAGTTAATGCACAATTGATTTCTAATGTCCCATCTTCTTAAAAGTTCGTTTTATAGTTGAAATGTAGAAATGTAAGAGTATCCCCTTAGAGATTATCATTGTTCGGTTGATTTCAGAAAAAAAGCGAAACATCTGTAATTCAGTGGAACCTATTAAATAGTTTGTTCTAAGAGCTGTCTCCACATTTACAAATGGACTGTTAGTTTTGTTATATGGAAAAGCAGTGCCCATGTTTGGCAGTTTCGTATTTTATCATTGTATTATTGCAGTCTTTGGTTGTTTTGCAAGCTGCACTTTACTTCTTTGATATTTTTCTTTGAATACATTACTGCCTCTGCAGTTTATTAAATTAGTGTGAGCTGCAGAGTTCCCACTGTACTCCTTTAACACATTACTGTCTTGCTACTTTACTGCTTAGCATTGTTTGGTTTCTTTTGTGTCTCTGCTAAACACTTTTAGTGATCTAACTGTTCTTACGTGTCTTAATCTGCTTTGTTTATTTTGACTATTTGACTGCATGTTAATCAAACAGCAGTAATGTTGTCATGTACCTGAGAAATGAGGTCATTGGAGAGAGAGCTGCATTTGCTCATTTCGGTGGTTAGGGACAGAGAGGTATAGGATGATGGGAATTGTATATGCCAGTACATGGGAAGTTATGTCAGCTCTTCTGGTTTTTCCCCAACCAGAGGATTTTGGGCTACTTCATGGCCTTGCGAACCTGCTTTTTATAACGGTATTTTTATTACTCATGATCTAGTTGTGGATGAGGAGACTGACGCGGCAAGTATCTCTGAGAGACAGGTGAAGTGTGGTTCTGTCCCAGCTTTGTGTCTCTTGGTGCATATTACAGGATCAGTGTTGGGCACTGACCAGGGAGGGACTCCTGCTGTCTCTTGTAGCCCTCACCAGTCAACCGGTTAGTTCTGGTGTACTGGCCACCTCCGTCTCCCTTTCTGGAAAAGGACACGGATGTCATCGCCTCCAAACACTCTTTTCCACGCTGTAAAGCTCAGCCAGCTCTTTGGTTTTCTAGAGAATTGAGGCTCAGGAAATAAGCAGGAAGATGGTGCAAGTCTCACAGCAACTCTGACCAGAGACAAGTGGAAGTGTATCATCTTGTTTACTTTATAGCAGTGAGAATGGCAGAGTGATCTTACTGCTCCACGTCTGTGGATCTACAGGGAGCTGCCCCCCAGAGCTCCTTCAAGTGGCGAAGGGGCTAAAATCTAGGAAGGGCGCTTTGGAACCCTTAAAAATCTGTTGTGATGTTTGTGAGGAACACTGAGGGGAAATTATTTCCATTCACATTGTCTGAGATGCCGCCATTGATGCGATTCCGTATCGTGACAGGAGGAAATACCCTTCCATCACTTCTCTCTTCATATAATTGCTGTGCTTAACTGTAATAAAGGGCCACATGTTCATTCTTTCTTATTTATATTTTAGATGGAAGACTTTATTTGAAAACTACTGTAATGTACTGAGCTTATCGAGCTTACGTAACGTGTGCTACAGTTCCAAGAACTCTGCAGTAAGACGTTCACCATTTTGGAAGTTCTGCAAAAAGAAAGGTGCTTTCCAGGCAACTTGGCCACTTCATGTATCCATATGCAGAAGTTTTAAGCTTTCTGCAAGAGCAGCCTCCACTGTTTTCCTGCAGCTTTTCTATGGGTTGCAGAGAATGTTTCTACAAGTTATGTAGCACTCTTCTTACCAGCCAGCGAGCAAGAAAGTTGCAGTTTTGACACCTCCTTGTACAGACTGGCCAGAACAAGACCTTGCATTCCCTTTTCAATGGAATGAAAACGGTGTTCTCCTCTGATTCTCTGAGCACATCAAACAAACCTTCCACAGTGTCTGCTTCTGTACCTGAAGACTATTAATGCCATAAATAAACCAGCAAGACAGTAGAGGAGTGAATCTTTCTAAAAGGGACATAAAGAGGATTCCTAGAAACACAAACTAGGAAAAGACTAATCACAAAGTTACATCAGTTCCCCCCACCCCAAGTTCTAGGAGAGAGTTTTGTTTCCCTTGAAGACAAGTTTTTCCCTCATACCTTCCTTCCAAGAGATCAACTCAATGGCACATTGCAGAAGTCAAAACAATTTGATCTTGGAATAAAGAAGTACGGAAGTAAATAATATGGTTTTACTGTTTGCAGTAGTCTCTTTCTTTCAGTAAATAAAACAGATAAAAGATGGGTTGTAATTTCTCACTCTAAACTGGCAGTATTTGGGGAGGGAGAATAACAATGCTTCTTATTGAAACTGTTGGTCAGATGTACAGTATATAACCACAAACCACACAAAGAAGGTATTATGTATGCAGTAGAATACTAGATTTTAGGAAAACAACAATTTTAGATAATATGTTTTGTCACCCTGTTGGTCCAAAATGACATCTTTCTAATTTTAACGCATGCAGGCATGTAAATATTTGTCCTGAAGTCACAGTATTAATGAACGCGATCTGAAGCATTTGGGGAGGCCAGCCACTTCGTATCTGCCTACTGGGCAGTGCTCTGAAACAGCCCTTTCGAGAGTGCATTGTGGCTCGAGAGCAAATCAACCCTCCAGAAATATTTTTATATGTCAATGTCATATTATTTCAGCATTGCTGGGGAGGAAGCCCCCCCAGAGGCTAAACAGACACGTGATGTATTGGTCCAATACCATGTAGAGCTAAGTGATGAAGTTGAAGTCTTATGTCCTTCCTACCTACCTTGCCTTAGGCAAGGCAGGATGCGTGCTATTTTTACTGTCTTTATAAATGCTAAGATACCTGTTTTCCACCCTTGTGCTCATAACTGGAAGCAAGCTGCAACTCAATGCTCACGACATCTGAAATTATCTTCCTTCTTCTGCATACTTCTCCAACTTACCCCTTTAAAGACTACCTTGAAGATCCATTATCACATGGGATTACGCTTAGCTTATCTGTGATGTTCTTTGCAGATACAAGATGCAATGCCATATGAAAACAAAACCGGAAATAATTATGACTGTCAAAACTATATCTGTGTTCAGATTGAAATAATTCTGTTCCTAAAACTCAGCCACTCAGTGTCTGTAATTTGTTGGTGTTGTTCAAAACTCTGTTTTCGATTCAGGGTGGTTGGGGCAGGGTGAGTGGCCTCAATTTGATTTACCATCCAGAAATACATTAAAATATAATCCCATGGAATTAAAGAAGAAACGTTGCAAACTATGCTGTCATTCAAACATCGTTACCTGATCATTGTAACAGATGCTTGTTTTTGCTTTTTTAAAAAAATGCTAAAAACCTCAGAAAAACTATATTATTTTTAAATGCAGTCTTTAAAGGGTCAACAGCTGTTATTAGACAGACTTTGTGGCAAATTCCTAAATTATTTATATGAGAGGAGAGAGGGGTTTTTTTTAAGGCTTTCAAAAAACCCTACAAATGAAATCTGTAGTAATACCTACTACGCTCTTGCTCCTACAGAGAATCATCTGTAAGTAGGTTGAATTGTTTTACAGTGTATGCTTTTCAGACTTTTTGAGTATGCATCATTGTTTGGTTTGGTGCATAGGTAAATGAAAATGCTGAGAAAAATGAGGAAAAGAAGTATATCATATTAAAACAAGTGTAAATACTACAGCTCATGAATTGCTACCGTATGATGACTTTGGGTTTCTTTGCCTCTTTTTAGTTACACACGAAGGGTTTTTTTCCCTTTTTGCCTAGATTATGAAGAAATGTTGTGTTCATGTTATTGTTTAAATGCTTTTGTAATCTTAAAGATATTAATGTCTAGTTGTTCTATATTATAACCACCTTTGCGTGCTATGCAAGCCCTTGGAACAGAACATACTCATCTTCATGTAGGACCTATGAAAATTGTCTATTTTTATCTATATATTTAAAGTTTTCTAAAAATGAGAAAAAGGTTATTATGAATTTTGTTGTACAAAATATGTACAAAAATCTGTTTTTACATCATAATGCAAGAATTGGAAAAAAATTTTCTATGGTAGCCTAGTTATTTGAGCCTGATTTCAATGTAAGGACCACCTTTACTGGTATTGTATTTAATTTTCTTTTTTTTCTCCTCCTTTTCAACAATCTGCTAATAAAACTGTCTGAAATCTGCTGCGAGTTTATTTACAGTCCATCTTTATTAAATTTTGCGAAATGTGTAACACTGAAGGAATATTTACTTTCTAATGGGAGGCGTCTTAAAACAACGCAAGTCAGCTCTTTGCAATGCGAGAAGAATGCTGGATGATTTCATTTAACATGCAACTGCTTCTACCTCTAATATGAATTACTGTGTTGAAGAAGGAAAAAACACATCATAAAAGCATACTCTGTGGTTATTGTTTAACAAGCAGATTTTCCATATTTTGTTTCTTGCCAGCTAAGCAAACTTCCCCCATCTGCATGATTTATTTATGTACATTTCTCAGTTTATGAAGCTGTTATTTGTACCTTTCCCCCCTTTATATTGTGATATTCCCAGGATTCTTATTTTACAAAGCTTTGTGCTGAATAATGTAAAGTGGACATACTGATGGAACAAAACATGTTATTTCCATAACTACAAGAGCATGGAAGATTTCTCGCACTAACCTACTTTCTGGCGCTTGTATCTTCTCATCCTTTTCCCTCTCGTGTCTTTCAGGCAAATCAGGCTCGGCAAGTTATTTAAAAACTTTTAAAATCTTAATGCATGTTCCTACTTTTACTGCAAACATTTTAAACATTGAAAAGGGTGTTTAAAATAGCGGAACATTTGGCAGCCTTAACATATATGCTAACTGAATTAGAGGGATCCTTTTTTTATGAGGGATTTCTTTTCAGTCCAGAGAGGTATATTTTTAAGTATTGTAATTGCTTCTCACTTCATTTCTCCCATTCAAACATTTCCTAAAATTGTTAACCCCTCTCCCATTTTAATCACTTCTCTCTGGGCAGGAATGCACATAAGATCTCGTGAAAACCTTGTGAATACCTGTCTTCCAACATAAACCGATTGTTAAACCGACCCGAGACTTCGGTAATGGGACAGTCTAGAAAAGTTTTAAATTAATAAATAAATCTGAAATAAATAAACATATGATACGATGGGTGACAGAGAACTGCATTTGATAGTCTCACAAGACAATTTCACACTTTGCCAGCATGGAAGTGTTATCCATGTAGAAAATACGTGCTTAACGTAATGGAGACAGTATATACATAATGGTGCCTTACGCTTATAGTAGAGAAAGTTACTTCCATTTGAAAGCAAAGTTAGCAGAGTTTGTTCATTAGCTTGGGCGCTGATCCCTACTAGCAAAGTTCTACTGTGTGCCAGGCACAGAGGAACAGTTTGCATGACGGGATTGGGGCAACAGAACTTACATCACTTGGAAGTTGTTGCCCCCTGAAAGAAACCGTGACGCTCGTGTTCAAATGGCATGGAACGCAGCAGTAGTGAGAGTAATTAGGGAAATCTAACCAGTATCTGTGGCAAAGTTACCAAGACTTTATGGCCTGTTAGCTGCATGACACTCGTGTGAACCGGGCCAAGAAGTCACTTCATTGTGGAACAGATGCTTTGAATTGCTTTTTAATGTGTCAGTAGTAGCAAGCATCTTCAGGATAATGTGATCTGGAGAAGTACTGCCTGCACATATGAGCTCTTCCATTTCATGTTTATTCTTCCAACCAACCCCAGGAACAAATATAGAAAAATGAAAGTCATCTTATACCGATTTGCATGCTGAGCAACCAAACCAATGCGGTGAGGCACGACATGACAGCCTGATCCAGTTTTACTGGGTGAGTTTCACTTGGTACAGCTCAAGGATATTGACCAGGTGCTTGGACAGGTTTATGCAATCTCCTTGTGCTGAATGCTTGCTCCTCCCAGTGTATTAATGACAGCAAGGAAGGGAGAACTAATTGGGCTGGGAGTGCACCTTGTGAAAGGAAGTGGCACCATGGCAGCAGTGAGACCACTCCTGAAGAAATGTTCCTCAGCCTGGAAGACCTTAATAACTGTAGGCTGGCAGCAAATGCTCCTTTCCTGGCCAGGGTAGGTGGCCTCTCACCAACTCCAGGCCCTCGCGGAGGACACTGATTACCTGACTCCTTTTCAGGCGGGTTTCAAGCTAGGCTTTGGCAAGGAGACAGCTTTGGTCATGCTGCATGATTCCATGGAATTACTTAGCTCCTAATTCCAGTGCTGGAGCGAGAGGATACAGCAAGCCATGGAAAGCACTGGCAGCACTTTCACAATGGGGTATGGCATTGTTCACCAAGGTGTAACTGAGCTGCCAGGTCATCCAGAAAAGGCTAGCAAAGTAAAAGGTCCAAAAATGTCACCCTTCAGAGGCATGCAACCAATCACTGTAATCTCAGCATTGATAAGTACTTCTCTAGCCATGGCATGTCTCGCTGCTGAGATCTGGAGAGATTTTATATGGCGAGTGGGTTCTCTTGACATGACAAGCAATGATGCCTTTTCATCTTGTTCTGCCGTGTCAACTGGTCTGTCAAGTCATCCAAACCCCTCTGTCGTGCACCCGACGTGGAAGAAGGTTAGTCTCACGGGGTTCACCAGGAAGGGACCCTGCATGCGCTTGCAGCATCTCCCTTCCATTTGTGCTCCTGCACCTACTGCAGAAGGAGGTTGCCAGTTGCGCAAGCTTCATCTTGTGAGCACGCACAGACTTCCTCTTGGCTCAGCTCCCTTTGCAAGACCAAGATGAACACCAAGGAAGTACACAAATGCTATTGAAGGATGGGTTCTGCTAGGGTTCATTCGAACCCCACTCTGGAGGCTATTCATAGGCTGGGATTTCAAAAAATAACAAACCCTGACCGATGTTTCTACACCACTTTATCCTGGAGTTGTTTTGGGGGCTCTCTGGGCTTCATGGTGTTGTTTGTTTACAGTAGAGATGGGCTCCAGCAAACCCTGAGGTCTTATTGAACAGCTGTGTTTAATCCGAGGTCATCTGGTACTGGAATTGCATGCAGGTGGAGTCCGTTTGGCTACTTACAGTATGGGTCACAGCAAACGGGGCTGAATACTTATGCAACCAATAAGTGCTGGTTTGTTTTCATTTTGTTAACTTTTGTGCCGTAATAAAAATATTTGCACTTTCCTGGTGTTGCGTATCCTGTGTACATCAAGGAGTAGCAATGCCAATTCTGTCCAGTTTATTTCCAGGTTCTAACGCAACAAAATGTAGGAAAGCCCAAGGGGGACGAATACTTCTGCAAGGCTATGCAGCAGAGGAGAGGAGAGCCTCCGTCCTGCATGAGTGAGCTCGTTCCAAATAAACTGAAGGAAATCAAAACGCCAAATCTGTGTTTATAGGGAAAAGACCACATGAAAGTGATATGCAGACATGCCATCAAAGGGAAGCAAATGGCATTACACGCGTGTTGCTACCTTACTGGCTCAAACACTCTCTCACTGGGGCTATTTCATGAGGAGCAACTGCCGCTGCTTTGAACTGGCAACCTTTGCTTGGAGCTGTGCACTCCTGGAGAGCATGAGTTTTGCAATGGTTAAGGTAGCTTTATTTCAACAGGTGCCCATGACCCCCAGGTGCTTGGACAGGTGACCTCCTAGAGATTCAGGACTCCAAATGAAAGACTGGAGGCTCCACCTCTAATGCCTGTCCCCTAAACCTGCCTCTTGAAGCCTATTTCCTTAGCTACATTACTTCATTTACTGAGATTAAATGCAAAAGTGCGGGAAATGCCAATACTTGGTATAGGCGTAATCACTTGCTGATTGTGTAAAAGTGTGTGTGTTCTAGAAACTTTAAAAGAAAGTTTGTGGTAGAGGCAACCGTACATTCAGAAAAGGAAGTCTTTGTGCAAAATAGATCAAGTTCTCAGAATAAGCACTGGTGTGAAACTTGGGGTTAACTTATGCAAAGGCTGTTCCGTGACACTTGTTTGCTCTGATTATGTGCCATTTGGTATATTTTAAATGGGGGTTGGCAACATCTGGGCCCAAAATGTTGCTGGACTCTAATTCCTATCAACTCCAGCCAGAGCCAATGGTCAGAGGTGATCAGAGTTGTGGTCCAGCATCATTTCGAGAACCATACCTGAATGCTACAATTGTGTTTAACAAATAAAATGTTGTATGAATTACTGTTACAACTGGGGAGGAAGGTTTACAGGGAAATGCCCCACATAACCAACCAAACAAGACCTGCTCAATTTTGCACACACGAAACAAGTTGTATGAGTCCAGTTGTCAATGAATGACCAGTACAGTTGGCAATGAACTGCACTGATGAAGTGAAAGCAAACACTGAGGCACAGTTTTGAACCAGAAGTTAAGACATTTGGATCTTTGAGAGAATGGAAGCTGAAAATCATCCAGTCGGTCACAACAGGCACTGTGCAGGAATGAGGTAGGTATTCTCAGCCGTGCAAAAAGTACTCTAATAAAAATCACATTTATTTGAAGAAGCTCATTTTATCGGACATATGACAAACATATGTCAGATACATGTCAGACATATATGCCCTTCCGCCCCCTGAGATCGGCAGCAGGGGCTCTCCTCTGGGAGCCTTCAGTGAGAAACATCAGGAAGCAAAGTACCCGGAGGAGGGCCTTCTCTGCGGTGGCGCCTCACCTATGGAATGCGCTCCCCAGAGAGATCCACCTGGTGCCGTCGTTATTTGTTTTTCAGCGCCAGGCTAAGACCTTTTTATTTAAAACTTATTTTAATTGCTAAATTATTTGGATTAATAGAATTTTAAAAATTTTAGCCGAGGATGCACCGGGGGTTTTAAACAATTTTTTAAAAATTGTTACACTGTTATTATTTGTGTATTTATGTATCCTTTGTGAGCCGCCCAGAGGCTTTGTTGCGATGGGGGCGGCATAGAAATGTTTTAAATAAAATAAATATGACCATTGGGCGACGTACTCCAACATTCCTCAGCTCACAGTCAGAAGGAACAGCATAATGAGCTCTACCATTGTGATTTGTTCATATGTGTAATATTTATGCATCATGGCAGCCCACCAAAGGAAACAGAATTAGGCCTCAATGCTGAGCTTAGCAACACAGGCCCGGTCAATTCTGCTGCCTCAGAAGGGGATGCCTGGACTGTCCTGCCCCCAAAGGG